CGTGTTTATAAGGCGTAATATTCAACTGGAGGTAAAAGAGTTTATATAAAACAATTATTTGTTGCTAACAACATTATTTTTTTTCAGATACCTTGCTTTTTTATCGTTCCTGCTGCTGTATTATCCGATTCTTGTGTGTTGGTTGGTTTATCGGAAGCTTTAGTGCAAGATGTTAGAAATAGAAGAGCAAGAAACCACTGCCCCAACGCCGGCTAAGAGACAAAAGAAAAAAAAACGATGAGAACGCCGCCTTTAACGATCTAGTCAACGAAGTAAGTCAGTTTGTGGATAGTCAAAAAAAAAAACACACACACAACAATTTCTTGGGTGCGATTGGCGAAGTGTTTGAGAAGGTCCCAGAAGAGAGCCGCCTAGATTTTCAAATGGACGTACTTCAATACGTCTATGCTCAATATAAAAATTATAAAAATTGAATTTACGAAATTTAAAAATTTAAATGACATCCAGTTTGATTTCAATTTTGCGAACTTAATATGTAGTCTAATTTAGTATGAAATCTGATTTTGATTTTGCGAATTAAATATGTAATCGAATTTAATATGCAATCTCACAGAAAATGCTTGCTATAATTTCATTGTTTCTAATCAAACACAATTGTACATTTTTTTAAGCAAATATTCAGGATATTATTCCAAACGCGTGGTTTTCGATGCAAGTTTACGAGGCTTACGCGGTTACGAGACATTTAAATAAATTTAAATAATTTAACTTAAAAGACTGAATGAAATATATGTTATGTTAACGCCATACTTACCTTGAACAAAAATTAATTTAAAAACCTGAAAGATGTGACGACATTTAAAACATTACCAATAAGTGCCCTCATACTGTGAGTTCAAATTTTTGTTTTCTATCTTAAATAATAAAAACAAAGCATATTCATATATTTAAATTTTATTGTTAAAAAGATGTGTCTTCAGAGCATCCCTTAAATCATAATTATTTGAACTGCCTCGGTTCGATGACACCCTACTTATTGAGGGCAATGGAACTACTTCGTTTCGCCATGAGCCAGCGATGGTGGCATCCTCTTCGTAGCGATCAACAAAATCGCTTGCTACATAGTTTGCACGCGAAAGCTTAATAAAATTATGCAAGACAATACAAGCTTTCACTATTTGTTCTGCATTTTTCGGGGCCATGCATAGCGTCGTTCTCAATATTCTCCATTTGGCAGTGAGTATTCCAAATGCGTTTTCTATAACTCTTCTTGCACGAGAGAGTCTTTTATTGAAATACTCTTGCTCTTCTGGAATACCTCTACCCGGATATGGTCGCACTAAATAACGCCGTAAGGGAAAAGCTGCATCTCCTACTAAATAATGTGGAAATGGCTCGGTTTCTCCTGGCAGAGGCTGATCATGTGGAAGGCCGAGCCTATCATTTTCAATAGCATCTGCCAGTTTTGAAAAGTGGTAGACACCGCCATCGCTTTGAATTCCATATGCTCCGATGTCAACGCAGGTAAAGGTATAATTGGCATCACATACGGCCAAAAGCACGATACTATAATTGCCTTTGTAATTATAGTACATCGACCCTGAATTTGCTGGACAGATAATATTAATGTGCTTTCCGTCGATGGAACCAACGCAGT